AAGATTATCTTCTGTGTCTGTGTTAATTGGTTTCCCTTTTCTTTGTTGAAGAGGGTCTGTGCAATCCTTCTGCCTAGTCCGCCATCTTGCCCCGCCTCTCCCACATTGTCTTTTAAAAGTAAGAATAGTCATAGGAAATTTTATCATGTGTAAACCTTCAAGACCATAGCAATATCAAGAAAGCTGTCTCACTCTTAAAGGATTGCTCACTGTCATTTGTTTATTTATATATAGTATTTAAAGGAGCTCTGGTGACATAATGCCTAGGGTATTTGACTGTTAACCAGAAGGCTAGCGGTTCGAGCCCACCAGCCCCTCAGAGGGAGGGCAAGCTACTTCTGTAGTGTTATCGCCTCGGAAACCCAAGGAGGGGTCGCTATGAGTCGGGTCCAACTCGACGACAGTGAGTTAGTATATAGTATTTAAAAGTTGAAGAACCAAAATTGCTATTCCAATAATTGTTTATGGCATTCCAGGACAATTTTACCTAAAACAACTATTTTTATTCATGATTATATTTATTAATGTCAACTAGAAACCATGTTTAATTTCATACACTTCTCATACATGAAAGAGACTACCAATTAACATAGTCCACAGAGACAATGTTCTACATCCTACTTCAATGAGTAGTGACTGAAGTCTTAAGAGTTTTCAAGTGGCCATCTAAGATACAACTCAGTAATTGCATCTTACTATTGCACTCTTTCCTATAAAGGACTGAAGAAAATCAGACTCAAGGAAACAACTGGTCCAAAGGATCTCATGTACTACAACCTCTACTACTCGGAGACCAGAAGAACTAGATGGTACCCATTCACCACTACCTACCACTCTGAGCAGGATCACAATAGAACATCCTGGATGGGAAGAGAGGGGGAAAAAAAGGGAGAACAAAATTTAAAAACATAAAGAGGACCAACTGACTGGCCCAACAGAGACTAGTGGAACCCCAAGACTGGCGGTCCTCAGACACACTTAAAGCCTAAAACCCCCAAGGATTAACTTTCAGCCAAACAATAGACAGGCCAATACAGTGAATAATAACACTAGGAGGAATGTATTTCACTACAGTCAACCACAGGAGACCCAAGGGTAGCATTTGCCCAAAAACAAAACTCAGAAGGCAGGAAGAGGCAAGGAAGATGGATGAACAGAAATGAACCCAGGCAGGAAGGGGAAGAGTGCTGTTACCTTGGGGGTACTGCAACCAATGTCACAAGATGAAGTGTATAAATCATTGAATGGAATCCTAATATGCTCTGTAAACTTACACCCAAATTACAATAGAATGTTCCAAAAAATAAAAAGAATGCCAATTAAAGAAAATAGTCAATTAAAAAATATATATATGTATATATACATATGTGTGTGTGTATACACACACAGAGAGAGAGAGAGAGAGAGAGAGAGAGAGAGACTATAGCTGACTGCATATCAGGCAGTGTTCTAGGCACTGGGGAAATGACAGAGAACCAAACAGATGAACATCGCTGACCTCATGGGACTTACACTCTAGTATGTAAGTAGATGTCAAGACATAATGTCAGAGAGAGTTGAGCACAAGAAAGACACCTCACTGCCGTGGAGTCGGATCCGACTCATAGCGACCCCTTCTTGGGTTTCTGAGGCAGTATCACCATGGAAGCAGATTGCCCAACCTTCCTTCTGAGTGGTGGCAACAGGTGAGGGTAAAAGGTGGAGAGGAAGGGGATATGGTGTTTCCCAGGTATTGCTGGTGCTCCATGTTACTCCCCTGGGATCCTATGGTGGATTGAATGGTGATCCCAACCTATCTTTTTGACCTTGTGAGGAAATAGGGTCTTTGAAGATGTTACCAGTTAAGTTAGCATGAGGTCATAATGGAGTAGGGTGGGTCCTAATCCAATCTGAGTGGTTTCCTTATAAAAGAGGAGAAGAGACAGAGAGACACTCAAAGACGGCCGTGTGAGGATGAGGGTAGAGACTGGAGTGACTTATAAGCCAAGGATCACTAGTTGTCACCAGAAGGTGTCCTCTAGGAAAGAGCATGGAACAGACTCTCCCTCAGAGCCCTCAGAAGTAATCAACACCGCTGACATCCTGATCAGGACTTCCAGCTTCTAGAACTGTGAGACAATAAATTTCTGTTCTTATAAGCCACTCCATTTGTGGTGCTTGTTGTGACAGCCCTAGGACACTAAAGCAGATCCCCCCTCCTTTTTTTTACCGTGTTGTGTGACTAAGATCAGTGGGATTGTATCTACGTCAATATCCTGGTTGTGATATTGTCCTATAATTATGATGATGTTACCATCAGGGTAGAGTGAAGGGTACATGGGATCTCTCTGCATTGTTCTTTGCAACTAACTGCATATGAATCTACAATTACCTTAAAAAGTTTTGAGAAAGAAAGAAACAAACTTTGGGGTAGGTTGTATGAAGAGTAAGCCAAGAGTTGAAAGTCAGGGAGGATAATTTCCTTTTAGCAGTGGAAGGAGCCAACCCTCCTTGCTTCCTGCCTGACTCACAGCTTCTTAGCACTTTCTGGAAGAGCTCTGTCCTCTGTCCAGAAAAGGGCTGGGGCATGTCAGGGCATTAACAACCACAAAAGCGCTCAGGAGGGCCAGGGAGGCTTCTCCACTTCCTTTCCTGCAGACCTGCCCTGGTTTGTCATGATGTCATCCATTCATCATTGTGAGCTGAGTGGCGGTCCCAGGCCTGGGCTGGCAGCCAGGGCCAGGAGGAGGAGAGAGATCCCAGGACACATGTGCAGCAGGCCCCTGAGTATGTGTAGAAATGTTGTCATCAGTTCCACATAGAAAGCCTTGGTGGAAATCAAAGAAGACAGTCAAAGTCACAAGATCCTATCCAACCTTCCCTCCCCTGAATGCCTGGGAAGAATGCAGGGGCCTCTTGCCTGTGGATGGGGAGCTGAACCCTGGAGTGGGCTTTGGTGTGGAGGAGGGACTGCTCTCCCAGATGGTGCATTCTCCAGAATTCAACCTGTTTCCTGACTCAGTGGTGTTTGAAAGTAATTTTGTCCAGGTACTCTTGGGTTGATCAGAATACACTCCTAGCTTCTTGCAGACCCGCTTCCAAGATTTGACCAGGCAAGCCAGTCTGGGGGACTAGTGAGGAAGGAGAGCTGAAGCCAGCAGAAGCTAGCAGGCTCAGAATACAAGACCACCCTCTCCTGTACCCCGGCTTTGCAGGGCCCCAGGCAGGGATCCTGCAGACAGTTTTCATGAGGACAGAAGTCAGATGGCATCCCTGGGTGGCACAAATGGTTAAGTGCTCAACTGCTAGCTGAAAGGTTGGCTGTTCAAACTCCCCAGAGGCACCTCAGAAGACAGGCCTGGTAATCTGCTTCCAAAAGGTTATAGTCTTGAGAACCCAATGAAGCAGTTCTACTCTGCACACGTGGGAGTCACCATGAGTGCCCCTAACAACAACAACAACCTTTTCATATCAACCTGGAGAGAGGTCAGACGTTCTCTCTTCTGAGTGCGGGGTTGCGTATTGGGATTTCCCATTATACTCATTGTCCAGATTGCCAGCCCCAAGCCGATGAACAAAGAGGCAATGAAATCAGACCCCCCTCTGAGGGTTAGAACAGAAATGCTGCAGCTGGTGAAAGAACAGGAGCTGGGAACCAGACAGACCTGGGCTCCAATTCCAGCTTTCTGCCTTCTCTTGGGAGGCATCATTGTGCAAGTAACCTGCTCACTCTGAATCTACTTGCTTGGCTCCAAGAGGCACTGAATTGACCTTTGAATTAGACACAAATACAGGAGACATAGTTCAGGCATACCTTGGAGACACTGTGGGTTTGGTTCCAGACCACCACAATAAGGACAGTATCACGATAAAGCAAGTCACATGAATTGTTTTGCTTTCCCAGTACCTGTAAAAGTTATGTTTGCACTATGCTGTCATCTGTGAAGCATCCACAGCATTATGAAAAAGTTTGAAATACTGTGAGAATGACTTAAATGTGACACAGAGACACGAAGTATGCTGATAATCCAATAGACTTGCTGAGGTTAGGAGCTCTGGTGGCATAGTCATTTGACTGCTAACCAGAAGATTGGCAGTTCAAACTCACCTTCTGTGGAAGGAAGACTGGGCAATCTACTTCTGTAAAGATATACTGCCTCAGAAACCCAAAGGGGGTCGCTATGAGTCAGAATCGACTCGATGGCAGTGAGTTTGGTTTGGTTTTAGTTTTAGACATGCTGATGCAGGGTTGCTACAAAACTTCAATATGTGAAAACCACAGTATCTGTAACGCACAATGAAACGAGGCATGCTGGTAATTTGTGTATCAGGTGCTCAGCGCAAGGCAGTGCCTTACCTGGGCTCTTCTCAGACCAGACAGAGTCGAAAGAGACTTCATAGTCCAGTGAAGGAGCAGGAGATGACAGGGTCTCTTAAAGAAGGGCCAAAGGGACAAGGTTTTCAAAGACAAACCAAGAAGTAGAGGGGGCCACAGGAATGTTAGAGTTGGCACGGTCGTTAATAGTAGAGAGTTTAAATACGATTACAATCGTTCAGCCAAAATAGATGAAAACTGTGATTCTCAGCTGGAGGTGGTTTTCCCCCATTCTCCCCAGGAAACACCCGGTAAGGTCCCTGAACGGCATGACTGGCTTATGCTTGACTAATAGGTTGCCAATGCAGAGGACGGGCTTGGCCATCTGCTTCCTCACAGATTACAGCCAAGACAACCCTACGGAACAGTTCTATTCTGTTACACACGGGGTCCTCATGAGTCAGAATTAACTCGACGGCAATGGGTTTTTTGTGTTTTGTTTTTGTTTTGTTGTGGAGAGATTTTTGGTTGTCACAATTCGGGGGAGAAGGTAGAGGTTAAGCGGCTGCAAACATGTGACGCACAGGACACCCCTGCCAACAAGCACTTGTCCAGCCCACAGAAGTATTAGCGCTGAGGGTGAGCAGCCTGGGTGAGAACCCCCTGCTGGCTCTGCTGAGTGCTCAGGCCATGCTGGGGGCTGATTTGCAGGTCAGGAGGCGCAGAAACTGGATAAACATCTACAAAGCCTCCAACACCATGGCCCTGGGAGTGACCTCCTCCGTGCCCTGCCTGCCCCTTCCCAACATCCTCCTCATGGCCAGTGTCAAGTGGCACCAGGGGCAGAATCAGACATGGAACAGGCCACCTATAGCCCCAAATATCATCCTGAAGAGGTAAGCAACTCAGATGGGAATAGGCGGCAAGAGGAATGAGGGGTAGACCCCAAATGGAGGCTGCGTTGTGACAACCCAAGGAGGAGACAAAGCAGGGAAGTCATCAGCAAAGGCATTGACTGCTCTAAATAGCAGTAACCCCAAGCCGGCAACTTGTGGAAGCAGAGAAGCCAAGTGGGGCCCAGGGAGGTGTTGTGTGGGCAGAGTGAGGGGCCAGTCTACGTGCCAACATTCCTTCTTGCTGCACTCATTCCAGTGAATCCATAGGAAATCCCCCCAGCCTTTGGCTGCGGGCCAAGGAGGCAATGAGGTCTGGCAGACAGAGCACTGGTTAAGAATGCAGATTCTAGTGCTCAGTGTGCAACTAACAAGCTACAGATAATTCACTTGCTGGCCTTCAGTTTTCCTATCAGTAAATTAGTGTGACTACAACAATTAAAAAATGAGTGTGACTAAGTGTCTCTTAGAACTGTCAAGTACAAAGACATCAAACTTGTCTCAGACAAAACAGCCCTTTTTGATATTTGGGCTTCTTCAAGTAATCTGCAGTTTAAGAATCACAAGAGCTCTCTAGATGTCCAGGAAAACCCTTTCCTTTCTCATATTGCCTCTGTGACAAACCTTTCCGTTATGTTCTGGGTGAACCTATAGCAAGTCCAGTCCAGTCCAGCTCCAGCTGAGTAAGATTATTTGATCCAGAGCTGGTTCCTTGGGGAAGAGTAATGGAAGGATTGAGGTCAATGAGTGGACAAGCTGGACAGTGGGGTCAACTCTCGGCAGAGCAGGTCAGCTCCTTTTGTGCTAAACTAATCCCGAGGGCCCCAGCCATCTGGCCCCAGCCTGTGTCTCTCAAAACAGGGTCCAGGGAACCTCAACATGAGAGTCAGGTTAGAGTAGGTGGTAATTAAAAGGCAGATTCCAGGGCCAGAACCATTGAATTCGAATCTTTGGGGGTGAGAGTCAGATTCTGCATTTTAAACAAGCTCCGCAGGTGATGATCTCTCCAAAATCTGAGCACCACTGTGCTAAGCATTCTCTCCCCAACCCCAAAAGCCTCAGTCCTAAGGAAGTCCCCCTTTGTTTTTACGAGGACAGAAGCAATGTGGTCAGTGAGTGTCTTCCCTCACGCCTGCAGGATTCTCCCGTTGAAGTTTGTGGAGCTCCAGGTCTGTGATCACCTTCAGCGTATCCTGAGGTTGCGGACAGTCACCGAGAAGATCTACTACCTAAAGCTCCACCCTGACCACCCTGAGCCTGTGTTCACCTTCTGGATCCGGCTGGTTCAAATCCTACAGAAGGGCCTGTCCATCACCACCAAAGATCCCAGGATTCTTGTCACTCACTGCCTGGTACCCAAGAACAACTGCAGCCCCTCGGGAGACTCTAACGTAAGTGGGCACCATTGCCAGCCTTCAGTCAAGGGCAGAGCTGAAAGCTAGAGCTTAGATGAGATGGTGTATGAGTGCCCTGTGAGGGGGCTCTCTGCCTTAAGCCTTTTCTTTTCTAAATAGCTTTGTTGTTGTTGTTAGGC